CTGGGCAGGGCAAGTACATTGTGGGGTGCTAGGGTTGAGTCAATGGGACAGGTGAAGAGCAAGCATCTGGCCAGTTGAGCTGAGAGAGGGTATGGTAAGCCAGGAAAGTGCAGTCCACCCTCTGCCTACCAGTCAGCAAAATCAGACCACTGCTGGGCTGAGTGTTCTGGGTAGGGTGGACACACACAGGAGCACCACCATGGGGCTGAGCTGCCAGTGAGGGAGATGGAGGGTTTAGATGTGGTTCCCACAAGTCCCTAACAAGTTAGGCTGAGGGAGGGCTGAGAAAGCCAGGAAAGTGCCTCTGCCCTCCCTCTGCCAGTCAGCAAAGTTGGACCACTGCTGGGCTGAGTAGGCTGGGCAGCGTGAGTAGGCAGAGAAGAGTCTCTGCGGGGCCGGGCCACCAAAGGGGAAGATGGAGCGTTTGGAGCTGCCTTCCACAATTACCTGGGTGGTTGGGCTGAGGAGGGCTGGGAAAGTGTCACCCACCTAATGCTTTCTCCTCCAGAGAGAGCTCCCTCTGATTCCCACTTCCCACACCCCTCTGGCACACTTCCTGCTGCTGGTAAATTTTTCAGAATGACACCTCTATGGTGGGTCTCAGCAGAACCGATGGAACATCCTTCTCAAGTGACAGGAGTCTCCGCCTCCCAACTCTCCCTTCACCAACTCTCCCTGGTCTCCAGCCCTGTTATTCACCAAAGCCCAATACGATGTGACTTCTATTCCCAGAGAAGATCTCTTGGGCTAGGTGTGCCAGATTCTTATGCACTTATCCCCTCCCCACTCCATTCTTCTCCCTCCCACTTATGGCCCGGGATGGGGGAAGGGCTTTATCATTCTCAATGTGATCCTTTCTTCTTCACCAGGTGTAGACTGTCTGTTCTGAAGTATTCAGGTCATTTTTCAGGGTTAGTTGTATTTACTGTAGTTCCTTCCTTGGTATATATGTGGAAGAAGGTTTCACCTTGTCAGCTACTCCACCATCTTTCCTCTGTACTTACCTCCTCCATACTTTTTGTACAAGTTTACTGGGGTGAGAATCAAACCTAAATTAAAATCTAATTTATTTAATAGATATATCATGTACCAGGGCACAGAAAGCTCTAAAGTCCTCTTTACTGAGACCTTGATTACAACTCCAGTTGGGATTGTATTACATAAGAAGACTAACACAAAACAATATTTATGGCATAAAGGTCAAAGATGGCAATTAGGCTTCATCTTGGGTGCCTTTTCATTGATGGAGCACGACTGGCTAGATCAGCATTTAGGATTTTGAGGCCCTGTCTAACTAAGTAGGACTGCTTTGGTGAAGCAATGGGAAAATGATGATTATTTGACATATTTGATATATTCAGTGGGTAATCTACATCGAAAGTTCTCCAGAACTGATCTGGTCCTAGCCTGCCTTTGAGAAGGCTCTGTATCTGAAGACTAACATTTTCAGAGTCTGCCTTTGTCTTATTCAGCCTTTCTAGGACTGGTTCAGGACTCCACTAATAATGGCCTTGGATTAATCTGAAAGCTCTATATTAAACTGGACTCCCACACTAAGAAGACCAGGATCCAGAGAGGCCCAGTACCTAATTTTCCTGCTTTAGTGCATACAGAACCTAGGGTTGAGCTAGTGTCAAGAAAAAGCATAGACCAGTAATTATGACTTCTATAATCATTCCTCCTGGGACTACAGTGAATTCAAACTATAGTGGAAGAAGTATGTCAGAATTTCTGTCTTATATCAAGCCTAGAACCAGGCAGAATATTTTGTACGTGTGCCTTATAAATGTTTGCTCAATTTAACTGAATAAATCATATTTTTGTCCGCTTATATTTTAATTTAAATTATATATAGGATAGGATGGCTATTATATGTTCATAGCAGCATGATTCAAAATAGCCAAGAGATGAAGCAATTCTAAATATTCATCTACAGATGAAAGTATAAACAAAATGTGATATATACATACAATGGAATATCATTTGGTCTTAATAAGGAAGGAAATCCTTTCACATGCTACAATATGGAGGAATTTTCAAGATACTATGCTAAGTAAAATAAGCTAGTCAATTTACCCTATGACTAAGACAAATACCCTATGATTCTACTTACGTGAGGTATCTAAAGTAGTCAGAGAAACAAAGCAGAATGGTGGTTATTAGAAGCTGGGGTAGGAGGAGGAGGGATGAAAGGGAGGAGTTTAATGCATATAGAGTTTCAGATTTGCAAGCAAGTTGAGAAAGTTTTGGAGATGTGTTACACAACAATGTGGATATTCTTAACACTAATAAACTATATATCTAAAAATTGTTAAGATTATAATTTTTATGGTGTGCTTTTTACCACAAAAAGTGTCTAATAAAAAAACTATACATATGCGAAAGAGAGTTCTTCCACCATCCTGAGGAGTAAACTGGTGACTGTATTAGTTGGAATGAGCTAAACTGCCTGCAAAAGAAAATCAACTCAAAGAAGCCTAACCTTCAAAGGGAAGATATTAAAAGAGAATTAGGATGTCTCATGGAACCAAGGAAAGGAAATACAGTTTGGCTTCAGGAACAGCTGGAATCAGGAACTTAAATTCCAATGGGATTCTTTGTCTCTCATTTCTACTCTATTCTCTCTTCACTCTCTTATTTATTCTCTTATTTTATTCTATAGGGCAGGATGTGATTGCCAAGAGCTCCTATCTTTACACTCCCAGAAAGGCTCAACTTGGGTCAGTGGCACCCACCTAGACCAGTAATGTGGAACCCGATGGAAGACCTTCCCAGAGAGAAGGGGGGGGTGAAGCATTGGACATTTACAACAACTGGTGTTAAAAACAGTATCTAATTTCAGATCTCCATAAAAAGCTCCAAACTGTGTAATTAATATCTTCTCATAGAAGGAGCAATAACTGAACAAACCACAGTAATTGAGCACATCTTTTATTCAGTGAATAGATTATTTTTCCATATGTGCTTATTAAGTACATCAGTACAAGTGTGCCATGTATTAGCAACTAGAACTAAACAATATAGTATGATATGGTTCAAAATCAAGAAAATACATAATTCCTCCATACATGTTTTTTAACAATTGGAAGAGGCCATGGCATTTACACCCTGTGTTCTCCGACTATACTGGTAACATAAGGTCACTTAACAAATATTTATTGTATGCCAACAATGTAGAAAGCAATTTTTAAGTCCCATGAAAATACTGAGATGAATAGCACAACTGTCATAAGAGAAGTTAATCATAATCTGCCTAGGGGAAAGAGTTATTAATTATGACTGTAGAGGCACAGTAGATAAGGCAGAGTTCAAGCTAGGTTTTGAAGGAGAAGAATGGTTTTAGGAAAATAGGAAAGTATGAAGGTGACTGTCAACGGTTCAGGGAGAAATTATGAGGGCCTTAACTGGGGCAGTGGCAATGGAAGGAAAGGGAAAGAATCAAAAGTTAATGAAAAAAATAATCTACAGGGCTTGGTATCACAAATATGAAGGACAAGAAGAACAAGTCAAAGTGGGTCTGATATTTCTACCCAAGTTGCTTAGGAGGTTAGTAATCCTACCAACAAAAAAATTGAAACCACATGAAGATGAGGGTTTTAGAGATGTTGAGTTGAAAGTGCTCTTTATGTACATAGGTAGAGGCGTCTAATGCTTGGCACATTCCCCAGCATACCGTAGGCTTGGGGCAGAATGCTTCATTCCTCCTTCACATATTTCCCTCCATGAGAAAGGATCCCCAACAATGTAAACTTTTTAGACTTCCTTTTCTCCCTTCCCAGAGGCAGAGGAATTAATTTATCTGGTGAATTTAGTAGGAGAGCTGAGGTTAAGTAGCTGGCCTCTTTTTCCCTTTTCTTTCTAGGTAATGCTCAGGAAGTATACATTCTGCTCTGCTCCTCCAAGTCATCAGTCATTCAGGGGTAGAATCTGCCCTTGCAGGAGGCAGCTGGCCCCAGTCTGGTGCTGCCTGTCACTGGGGAAGACTGGGCTGCAGCCCACTTGCATGCGGACAAGGCTACACCTCTCATGATCATATTTACCAGTAATAAAGGTGATACTTTGGTCTTCCAGTTACCTCTTTTGATTTTACTCTTTAATTGATTCGGAGCTCAGCTGGGGAAGGTGTTATTTATTGGGCTCCTTTGAACCCCAACAGCAGGTGCTCAAGTATATTTACTGAGAAAGTATGTTTTTAACTGACATACATAGCAGCAACTGTGAAATTCAGATTTGGAACTCAGGACAGAGTTCAGACTACTGGGTATATCAGCTTAGTGGAAGTAGTGCTTGGTAAGTAATTCTTACTGAGGGCTTACTATGTGCCAGGTCTTTTTCTAAGAGTTCACATGTATTAATTAATTAATCCTCATTAGAACCTCATAAAGTAGATTGTTATTTCAGCCCTATTTTATAGATGAAGAAACTGAAGCACATATAGACCAAGTAACTTGCCTAAAGTCACACAGGCAGTGAGTGTCAAAGCTGAATTGAACTAAATGAGGTTGGAATGTAGAGAGCAAATAGAGCTAAGGGAGAAGAATTTCATTTCCTCACTTCCACCTTTCTCTACTTCAAACTGAGAATGATACTTCCTTGTCACTCTGCAGTGGTGGGATGAAAACAAATAACACAGAACCCGTAAAGGTCATGGCCTAGAGGAGAAAAATGTGTCCGGAGCCAAGGACCGTCCATGGCTGTTTGTTTAGCCTATTCTTTATTTGGTGAGCAGTATCAATCCTCCTTATTGCTCTAGTTTTTCACTTGGTGAGTGTTCACTGGAGCGGACCACAGTACGGGACCTTTCTTTGAAAAAAGGGAAAGCTCTGCTTTTAAGCATTTACAAAAAGGTGGAATGAGGTACAAAACTGCCCCCAAATTGGAGTACAAGTTGTATTTGGAACACTTCTGTTTTTCAGGTATTTTCCTTTGCTAACCAGCCATGTGAGGAAGACATCAGCTTTTCCTGTATAACCCCTTAACTTTTTTCTCTCCCTTCACAGACTCTGAGGTTAAAAGGCAGAGCCGCCTACAGCTGCTGAACTCAAAGGCTCCCTTGTGTGTGGTATCTTTCTTTGCCATCAGCTGGGTACTTCTGCCTCTCTCTCCTTATCTGATGCTAAAATAATGTGCCCTGGCCACACAGAAACATGCAAAGTCGCTGGTATGACAGGTAAGATGAATCACGAATGGTGTGGGGGATCCGTTCTGTACGGGCTTGTGTTCTTAACAGAAGCCCAGCAGCCTCCAGCACCAGCCTCAGAGAGAAACAATAATTCTAGGGCAGCGGCACCATTTCCGCTGGAATTGTGAAAGGTGATTACTTGTTAACAAAGAGTACAGACCTCACTGACAGACTTAGAGAAAAAACAATTCTATAGTTCAAGTATTGGCATAAATTCAAACACCTTTGCATTTACCAAGTCATTCACAATCAAAATATCTTCTTGAGGAGAAAGAGATGCCCAGCCCTGATAGTTACTATGCGTTTCACTATTCTTTATGAAGCAGCGTGACATGCAAATAATCACCCATGTATGTGACTCCTCCCAGCTCCCCAACAAAGCCCCTGTTGACCAGGAACTTGACGTATGACTCACCCACTCGCCCTTCTAATGGTATTTCTCATTCTCACTTCAGTCCTCTGGCTCCAATTATTGGTACGACATTTCTTTCTGAATATTCTTTTGCATGTGGAGTTTGTATACAACTGAGCCATGAGTTCCAGTCAATACTACCGCATTACTCGGTGGCATCACCAGCTTGCCTCCAGGCTCACAGCCTTCCTATTTTTGTCCCCCTCTGTTCTTCATGTCAACTTGTTACAAGACATGTAGTATTCTCCCATGTTGTCTCTTAGATCGACCCTCATCCAGCCTTCAGCATCTCAGACCCAGACTAGTTCTGAAACCTGTAACTTGCTCCTTCCACTCCTTGTTTCAGTTAGTAGGGAACAAGGTGCCTGAATAAAATCATGCAAACGCTATTTTCATCACAGCATTCCTTTGCCTCGGAACCTGAAGTTACTTACAGGACACTGGATCATCAAAGTCGAGTCCTCAGCTGTGCAGCAACAGCTCTCTAACAGTCTCTTTCCCGAAGCTGCTGCTCCTCTCCGGCCTTGCTCCCTCTCTCACTGCCCTTTCCTGGAAATCTCTACTCTGGGTCAAAATTCAGATCCATACTTCCTTCCCCCATTTCCGAAGTGCCTCCCAGCTTATAGTCCCCTTTCTGATGATCCTTTTATTTTACATCCCCTTGGGATGCACGTGTAATTTATGATATCTTAAATTCTCGAAGGCACATATATTCCTTGCTAGAGTGGTAAGTCCTCAAGGGCAGGCAAACATCTGTTGATCTGGTTTTCATTCTTCCTCCTGTCCTCCAAATACTTACTGCAATACAGTGCACAAATAGATTCTTTATAAGAAACCCTCCAGTTCCCACTATTTCCCACCACCATGGATGTCAGAGGAAACTATCTCTTAAGGATCTCACCAGCAGAAGAAAGAATATTCTTCTTTCCTTGATTCCACATAACACTGTAAATGAGTTTTTAATATCCTTCAACTAGAAAATATGACCTATAATGTACAACTTATTCATATTCGTCTTATATTCCCTTAGAGCAGTAATTTGCTGCCTTTTTTTTTAAGCTATGGCATGTCATAGATGGTGTTCACACGCAGCACACAGAGAACTGTATACTGTTGTCCAGTTAGCAGCAGCCCTACCTCTTTCTCCCCAGAACTATAGAAGAATAACCTTAAATCAAATCATTTTTTTAAAAAAATGAATAGATAATTACTCAAGACACTCATTATAACTGACCATGACATTTTAAGTCATACATATTCCTTGGTTAAAAACTCAGGCAGAAGCCATATGTATACTTCTACCCAAGAGCCTGCTTATAGTTCACCTCTCAGTTCCTGTTGGCTCTGAGGATGGTGCCCTCCCTTAAGAAGAGATTCAAGCCATCTCTTTTCCCTGAAGAAACCATGGGACCATGTGGCCCTGATAGAACATCATCAAAATACAGAAAGAGAAGCCCATTTCTGAATAAAAGATACACTCACACAGTGGCAGGAAGACTTTCCGTTCTCAATAAATGTTTGCTGAATTGTTCTAATGGTATCTTACTGCTGTTATTTTCAGAATCCCAGGAATCTGCAGAACTATTTCACCACAAGATATGACCTAGTTTTGTATTTCTGGGGGAAATGAATTCATGTCTAAAACTTTGGAGTGAACAAATAAGACAAGAAGCAAAAAGAAGCCAAAAGCAATCCACAGAAGACTCCAATATAAGATAAATCTTTTGTTAAAGACATATACTAAAAGTTGGGAAAACAATTCATCTGAACTACAGAAGTATGTTAAAACTGCTAAGTGCATGTGGAGACATGTATCTCCATATCTTAGGGGCTCCGTTACCTATCCCCTCCCAGGGAGTGAAAGGATGGGATATTGAATCTCCCTTGTCTCTGAATCTTTAGTTACATTGCTGTAATGTTGCTCTAAGGACATTCCCAGAAAGTTTTTAATGTAATATATCCATGTATTATAATCCACAAATTAAGCTGCTAGTCAGCTACTACTTCATAATTCAGAGATGGCTGCATTTAGTGATGGGTCAAAATTATGTAATTCTTAGTATGATGCTTCTAAAAGGTTCTGGAGTCTCCTCCCACCTGACAAATGCTAAAGAATGTGGAAAATGATCATAATTTTAACATAAAAATATAGTTGGGTGACACTGATTTTCTAAATTATCTGAGCACCTTCTTTTAAAAACAAATGCCATATTACTTCTCAGATGATGTTCATCTTTGAATGGTCAGGGAAAAGACCTGTCATCTTGACTGCATGTGCCACAAAAGCAATTATGAGAGGGAAGTACATAGCACTATAGACATACCTCCAAAAACAAGAACAATCCCAAATAAACAGGGTAATCCCACAGCTAAAGAAACTAGAAAAAGAAGAACAAATGAAGCCCAAAGTTAATAGAAGGAGGGACATAATAAAGATCAACACAGAAATAAATGAGATGGAGAAGAATAAAACAATAGAAAAAATCAACAAAACCAAGAGCTGGTTCTTTGAGAAAATAAACAAAATAGAAACACTCCTAGCCAGACTTATCAAGAAAAAAAGAAAGAGTACACAGATAAACAAAATCAGAAACAAAAAAGGAATAGTCACAACAGAGACCACAGAAATACAAATAATTATTAGAGAATTCTATGAAATATTATATGTTAATAAATTGGACAACCTAGAAGAAATGGACAAACTCCTAAAAAAATACAACCTTCTAAGACTGACCCAGGAAGAAACAGAAAATCTGAACAGACCAATGAACATCAATGAAATTGAACTGGTAATTTAAAAACTCCCAACAAACAAATTCCAGTACCAGATGGCTTGACAGCTGAATTCTACCAAACATTTAAAGAAGAGCAAATACCCATCCTTCTTAAAGTATTCCAAAAAGTAGAAGAGGAGGGAATACTTCCAAACTCATTCTATGAGGCCAGCACCACTTTAATACCAAAATGAGATGAAGACACTAAAAAATAGAAAATTTTAGACCAATATCCCTGGTGAACAGAGATGCAAAATCCTCAACAAAATATTAACAAACTGAATTCAAAAACACATCAAAAAGATCATCCATCATGACCAAGTGGAATTTATTCCAGGGATGCAAGGATGGTATATTTATAAGTTAATCAACATGATATACCACATTAACAAAAGGAAGGATAAAAAACACATAATCATCTCAATAGATGCTGGAAAAGCATTTGACAAAATTCAACATCCATTCATGATAGAGCCTCTCAACAAAATGGGTATAGAGGTTACATACCTCAACATAATAAAGGCCATATTTGACAAACCCATAGCCAACATTGTACTTAATAGTGAAAAGCTGAAAGCTTTTCCTCTAAGATTGGAAACAAGACAAGAATGGCCATTCTCCCCACTTTTATTCAACATAGTTCTGGAGGTCCTAGCCATGGCAATCAGACAACACAAAGAGATAAAAGGCACCCAAATTGGTAAGGAAAAAGTTAAACTGTCACTATTTGCAGATGACATGATATTAAATATAGAAAACCCTAAAGAATCTACAAAAAAACTATTAGACCTAATAACTGGGTTCAGCAAAGTTGCAGGATACAAATTAATACACACAAATCTGTTCTATCCCTATATACAAACAATGAACTAGCAGAAAGGGAAATCAGGAAAACAATTCCATTTACAATTGCATCAAAAAAAACAAAAACTGAGAAACAAACCTAATCAAGAAGATGAAAGACCTTTACTCTGAAAACTAAGACACTCATGAGATAAATTGAAGAAAACACAAATAAATGGAAATTTATCCTGTGTTCATGGATAGGAAGAATTCATATTGTCAGAATGGGCATCCTGCCCCCAAAATTATAGATTCAATGAAATCCCTATCAAAATATTAACAGCATGTTTCAATGAACTAGAGCAAACAATCCTAAAACTCATATGGAATCACAAAAAACCCCAAACAGCCAAAGCGATCTTGAGAAAGAACAAAGCTGAGAGTATTACATTTCCTGACTATAGCACTACTACAAAGCTACAGTCATCAAAACAATATGTTACTGGCAGAGGAACAGACCCATTGATCACTGGAACAGAATAGAGAGCCCAGATATAAATCCATGCATATATGGTCAATTAATATACAATAAAGGAGCCATGAATATACAATGGGGAAAAGACAGCCTCCTCAACAACCAGTGTTGGCAAAACTGGACAGCTACATGTGAGAGAATGAAACTGGATTACTATTTAATACACAAAAGTGGTATAGATTGAAATGGACCAAAGATCTAAATGTAAGACATGAAACCATAAAACTCTTAGAACAAAGCATAGGCAAAAATCTCTTGAACATAAGCATGAGCAGTTTTTTCCTGGACACATCTCCTTGCATAAGGGAAACAAAATAAAAAATGAACAAGAGGGACTATATCAAACTAAAAGCTTCTGTACAGAAAATTACACCATCAGCAGAACAAAAAGGCAACAGACAGTATGGGAAAGAATATTCATAAATGATTTATTTGATAAGAGGTTGATGTCCAAAATATATAAAGACTTCATACGCCTCAACACCAAAAACAACAAATGACCTGATTAAAAATGGGCAGAGGACTTAAACAGACATTTTTTTCCAAAGAAGAAATACAGATGGCCAATAGACACATGAAAAGATGCTCCATATCACTCATCATCAGGGAAATGCAAATCAAAACCACAATGAGACATCACCTCAGAATGGCCACTGTCCAAAAGATAAGAAATAACAAATGTTGGCAAGGATGTGGAGAAAAAAAAACCCTTCTACATTATTGGTGGGAATGTTAATTGGTGCAGCCACTGTGGAAAGCAGTATGGAAGTTCTTCAAAAAACTAAAAACAGAAATACCATTTGATCCAGTAATTCCACTTCTAGGACTTTACCCAAAGAAAAAAAAGTCCCTGATTCAAAAAGATATATGTACTCCTATGTTTATTGCCACATTATTTACAATAGCCAAGATAGAAGCAACCAAAGTGTCCATCAATAGATAAATGGATAAAGAAGATGTGGTACATATACACAATGGAATATTATATAGCCATAAAAAATAAATAAATCTTGCCATTTGCAGTAACATGGATGGACCTAGAGAGTATTATGCTAAGTGAAATAAGCCAGTGGAGAAAGACAAATACCATATGATTTCACCTATTTGTGGAATCTAAAAACAAAACAAAACAAAATGAACAAAGTAGCAGCAGACTTATAAGCACTAAGAAGTGACTGGTGGTTACCATGGGGAAGGGGTTGGGTGGGGAGGAAGAGGGGGATAAAGGGGCATGAAAATTCTCAATCATGTTATAAGTTGGTCATGGGGACGGTAGTACACTACAGCGTGGAGGTTACAATGGTTCTGTAACCTCTCCCTATGTTTACAGATAGTGACTGCACTAGTGGGGGTGAGGATTTAATAATATGGGTAATTGTTGAACCACTGTGCTATATACTTGAAACCAAAATAAAATGGTATATCAACTATATTTCATGTTTTTAAAAAAGATTAAAAATAAAAAAGCATTTTCCCTGGTGTAAATTAGGGTATTACCATTTTCCCTTAATGTAATGAACAGGGAATAAGCATAGTTAGACATAATCAGGATAGAGATACACTTGTCAGGAAAATGCCTGGCTCCAATTAATTTCCCTCCCCACCTCAGCACTTATGGGCCAGAGTATTCTACTTACCTACTTTCAGGATCAGTCCTGAGCATACTCTGAACAGAGTCCCTGCTGTGGGCAAAACTTAAATTGAGAGTCCCCGTCTCAGTAGTATCCACCTCATTTGGTAATTACAACTATTAAAGAGATAATTCATAAAAAAGCAGTTATTACATTGCCTGGCTGTATGAGTTTGCTAGGACTGTCATAACAAAACACCATATAGATTGGGTGGCTTAAAGAACAGAAATTTATTTTCTCACAAACCTGGAGGCTGAAAATCCAAGATCGAACTGTATGTAGCAGGTTTCCTTTCTCCTGTCTTCTTTGTTTGCAGATGGCTGCCTTCTCACTGAGTCTTCACATGGCCTTTCCTATGTGTACATACATCCCTGGTGTCTCTCCCTCTTCTTATAAGGATTCTAGTCATGTTGATTAGGACCCACTCATATGACTTCATTTAACCTTAATTACTTCTTTAAAGACCCTATCTCCAAATGGGATTATTATGTCACATTATGAGGTACACTGGGGGTTAGGACTTCAACATTTTGGGTGACACAATTCAGCCAGTAACATTGCCATATATGAAAGAACTAAATAAAATTAGCTATTATTGAGTATATATATTGGGCAGGGCAAATGCATATCGACACACCACAACAGAAAGATGTGAACAACTTTGCTTTTTTTTCCCCTATCTGATCAAGAATAGATGTTTAAAGTTTGAACAGTTGGGAGATAGCAGAAAACCTTGTCCAAATAGCTACTGTTCAAATAAGGTCAGCGGACACTTGAAGTTGAGAGCACAAAATGGCTCAGCAGGCGGATGTTGTTAATGGAACTGAATTGGCTAACGGCCTCCCCAAAACATAGGTTACTATTTTAAGTGTTATAAAAGACCATAGAGCACGAAAAGATAAAAAATAAAACCAGTGTGGGTCCAATCTTCAAAGAAGGAGAATTGAATGATAGAGGCATTTTTGTGACTAAACTAAATTACGGACTACTAAAGCTGTCTTTGGGCTGAAGGTAGATTACAATCTTTTCTGTCCTGGAGCTCTCAGGATATAAAATGGCTTTTTCCTTTTTTCTTTACTCCTCAGTAAAATCCTTTCTACAGTTCTTAAAGACTGAAAACCTCTTGGTATTGGCCAAAGTCATTTAAAAGGGAAACAAACACATTTACCCCTAGTGCTACATGATGTAAACATAAAAAAAGGGCTTTTTTGTGGGGAGAACTTACAAGAGATTTGAAGGAGCAGGGAAATCCTCTGAGCTCTTATTAGAGTGGTATGCTTAGGCTGCGCTTAGCTGCACTAGATGCATCAGGGCCCAGCATTCGAGTAGAGAGTGGTCACCTGCCCCCTTTGCAATAAAGTGACCGACCCTTCCCACAAAAATGCTCTATATATTTGTAGGAAGTAGGTGACTGTGATGCTATGAAAGCCCCCAACTGAGGAAATGACCTATTAGAAGAGGGATCCCCCAAATGTCACGTGCTAGTATTAGGCTGTTTTCCCACCAAGGGCTTTCAGGGCTCTCCAGATGTGCAAATGTTCAATCAAGGGAAAGAAAGAAACACACTACCTACCTATCAGCCACTATAAGGAGGGTCAGGCAATCCTTGCTACATATAAATGTCACTGAACTACTGTT